TGGAAGAAGATTTTGGGCTCAGAGAATCTACAGGTTGAACAATCAAACTGTGGAGCGGACTCTGGAACATTAGGAGCACAGACTCAAAAGCTTCCAGGACTCTTTCTCCCTATGTTTTCTTTATGTCAGTTTCATCTTTTCTTCCTTTAGACTGGCTTGCTCAACAGGAGAGAAGCATGGCTGCAAATCTCTCCTGTCTTTTTATTTACATCCTACACCTTCCAGTACCAGAGAGTGAAATCCTAATATGACAAGGGAGGAAAAAGATGGGCGTATGGCTGAACCAAGACTGGCCAGTGAATTGATCCTTGCTGAAGGTGGGTATTACATAGGTGGGAGTTTGTTATGCTAGTCTGTCTGTCTGTTTAAGACCCAGGACAACACACTGAATGTTATGCTATTCTGTAGACTTTTGTACATGTTGGACATTTAAATTTTAAAAATATCCCCAAGAAGGAATCATACTTAGCCTCTCTTTTTTTTTTTTTTTTTTTGTCTTTTGAGATGGAGTCTCGCTCTGTTGCCCAGGCTGGAGTGCAATGGCGTGATCTTGGCTCGGCTCACTGCAACCTCTGCCTCCCAGGTTCAAGAAATTCTCATGCCTCAGCCTCCCGAGTAGCTGGGATTATAGGCATGCGCCACCAAGCCCAGCTAATTTTTTTTGTATTTTTTAGTAGAGTAGAGGTTTCACCATATTGGCCAGATGGTCTTGATCTCTTGACCTCATGAACCGCCCGCCTCAGCCTCCCAAAGTGCTGGGATTACAGGCATGAGCCATCGCTCCCAGCTGCAGTTAGCCTCTCTTAGACACCTGCCTCTGGATCAGGCAACAGTGGCCAGAGGATGTGGTGATGGAGAAATTTGGCAGCTTCATGGTGGGGACTGAGGATAGGATAGAGGAGCTGTTCCCGTAATAAAAGGGCCTTATTTCCAGAGGAGAAGAGGGGAGTCACCCAGGGCAGAGATGATTTATTTATGGTGTCTCCACCTTGTTATTAACCAGCCTCCATTTCTCTCTCCTGGGCTCTAGGCCCATATTTCTGAGGATCATCAGATTGTCCCAACTGGATGTCCCTGGGCACCCCTACACTGACATGTTTAAAATCAGACTCATCATCTTGTATTCCTGCAGTGTTTTCATCTTCCACCAGAAATTCATTATTACTTTTTTGAGACAGAATCTTGCTCTGTTGCCCAGGCTGGAGTGCAATGACCCAATCTTGGCTCACTGCAACCTCTGCCTCCCAGGTTCAAGCAGCTCTCCTGCCTCAGCCTCCCAAATTGCTGGGATTACAGCACTGCCTAAACCCAAGTAGCTGGGATTACAGGCACCCACCACCACACCTGGCTAATTTTTGTATTTTTAGAAGAGATGGGGTTTCACCAATGATCTTGAACTCCTGACTTCAGGTGATATACCCACCTCAGCCTCCCAAAGCGCTGGGATTACAGGCATGAGCCACCAAGCCCAGCCTCTAACCAATTTCTGAGTCATGTTCAACTGGTTCTGCTTCCTTACAATCCCCGTATCTCAGTTTCGTCACGTCTACCTCTGAAATAATTATTGACTCTATCCCTTCCTCCCTATGTCCAGCTTCACTACACCAGGTCAGAAGTCTCCCAGCCTCAAGACCTCCAAAGTCCACACCACCTCACACAACATATCACAACTTTCTACTACACCTATTTAATCTCTTTGTTCCCGGGCTTCAAGTCTTCAGGAGTTCCTTGTGCTCTCATAACAAACATAAGGCATCGCGACCTTAAGTTCCTATAAGGTTATTCAAAATTGAGTCAGATTGCTTTTAAAGCTTTAAAGCTTCTTACCTGCCAATATTGTATACAGTATAAGTGCTCAGTGAAAACCTGCTGATTGAATCAGGGGGAAAAAAAGTTTGACTTTTGTTGGAAAGCAAAGGCGCAGTGCCATTTAAAGCCATTTGTATACACTGGGCTACACACGACACAGACATTTAATTCTTCTGAACTTTTGCTTATGGTTCTTCCCTCTTTTCATTCATTAGTTATAATTGACAAACAATTGGGTTTTTTATGGAGCACAATGTAATGTTTTGATCTGTAATGTATACATTGTAAAGAGATTAATCTAGCTAATTAACATAACTATTACTTTACCAGCTTATCACTTTTTTTGGTGAGAATATTAAACATCTATACTTTTAGCAGTTTTGAAATATAGATTATTCTTTCTTTTTTTTTTTTTTTTAAGAATTTTAAAATTTTATTTGACTTGTTTTTTTGTTTTTTGAGATGAGGTCTCACTCTGACACCCAGGCTGGAGTGCAGTGAGTGGTAAGATCTCAGCTCACTGCAGCCTCTGCCTCCCAGGCTCAAGCAATCCTCTCACCTCAGCCTCTCAAGTAGCTGGGACCAAAGGCATGTGCCACCATGCCCTGGTAATTTTTAGTATTTTTGGTAGAGATGGAGTTTCACCATGTTGTCCAGGCTGGTCTTGAACTCCAGAGTTCAAGCGATCCACCTGCCTTGGCCTCTCAAAGTGCTGGGATTACAGGTGTGAGCCACCACATCTGGCCCTGAAATTCATGTTGTTAGTAACTGCAGTCACCATGCAGTTCGGTAGATCACTACGTTATTTCTCCAAGCTAAATAAAAGTCTGTACCCTTTGCTTGACATCTCCTCTTTCCCTATCCCTCCCTCTCTGTGAAGCCCACCCTTCTTTCTCCTATTTGCATGTGATTGACTTTTTTAGATTCCACATATACGTGAAACGACACATTATTTGCTTTTCTGTGCTTGGCTCATTTCAGTTAACACGACGTCTTCTAACTCCATGTGTGTTGTCTGAATGACAGACACTCCTTATTTGTAAAGTTTGTGTATAGTATTCCATCGCATGTGTGTATACCACATTTTTATTCATTTAGCCACTGCGAAAGTTAGGTTGCTTCCTATCTTAGCTGCTGTGAATGATGCTGAAATAAACAGAGGTGTGCTGATATCTTGAATGTTCCAATTCCAGTTCCTTTGGATATGTACCTGGAAGCAGAATTGCTGAGCCGTATGGTAATTCTATTTTTAGTTTTTTGAGGAACCTCCACACCCTTTTCTGAAATGACTGCACTTGCTTCTTCTTGATTATGAACAAACTGGCTTAATTCTACAAGAGTGGGCTTAAAACTCTGATGTCTTCAGTAGTCACGTCCTCTTTTGTGCTCTTAGACACTCTTTTAAGTATGGCTCTTCTAATACCATGCAGTAATTATCTTTTTGTTCCCCTTCATATCCTCTTCCCTGGAAAAAGCTCAGTTTTAATCATCATGAGTGTATCGGTTGTACATAATGCAATGAGAAAACATTTTTTAAATAAATTTGAAAGCTACAACACAGAATAATAGGCCCTCTTGGTTACCTGGGATCCCAGCATTCTAGTTCAGCCACCTGTAACAGATTAGACTTGGGCATAATCAGCCCCAGTGAAGGGAGCTCTCTGCAGAGGGAGCCCATTCTATTTTTGGAGAACTCGTACAAGGTGCTTCCTTGCACTGACCCTTGAATCCTTCTCTCTGCAGTTCTGGCCAATTAGTCAAAGTTCTATTTCTTGGAACCTCCTGAATTGGACTTCAGAAATCAGCTCTACTGTTCTTCAAACCAGACATCGAACTTTCTTTCAAGAACTGCTCACAAGGCGCAGGATGAGTTTCGAAGCTTCTGCACGTGCTTCAGCTTGTCTCAATCTCGCTCTGGATATGTGGCTCCAGAATTGCATATGATACCAGGTGTGGTCTGATTGGGAACAGGACATCAACAAGGAAGCCTTGTGAGTAAGAAGACTCGTGAGCAACATTGCAGCTGAGTTACGCAATGGAATACCAATTTCCGTAGCCAAGCACAGCAGCCCATGATGAAGAACAAAGGAGACGGTGTTTGTGTTTTCATTTATTTATTTATTTATTTATTTTCAGACAGGTTGTTGCTGTGTCGCCCAGGCTGGACTGCAGTGGTGTAATCACGGCTCATTGTAGCCGCGACCTCCCAGGCTCAGGTGATCCTCCTCCCATATCAACCTCCCAAGTAGCTGAAACCACAGGTGTGTGCCATCATGCCAGGCTAATTTTTTAATTACTTTTTTTGTAGAGACATGGGTTTCACATGTTGTTCACACTAGTCTTGAGCAATTCTCCCGTCTCAAGCAATTCTCCCACCTTCTCCTTCCTAAGTGCTGAGATGGATTACAGGCATGAACCACTGTACATGGCCTGTTTGTGCTTATTCAGGGCTATGAATTGGCAAGGTCAGAATAGTAAAGGATCATAGAAGAGGAACCTCCTGGAAAGCCATTTAATCCATTCATATTATCTTCTTCACATTCTCATCTTAGAAAAGTCCCCTCATTTTTTTTTTTTTTTTTGAGACAGAGTCTTGCTCTGTCACCAGGTGTCAGGCTGGAGTGCAATGGTGCAATCTCGGCTCACCGCAACCTCCGCCTTCTGGGTTCAGGCAATTCTCCTGCCTCTGCCTCCCTAGTAGCTGGGACTACAGGCATGCGCCACCACGTGCAGCTAATTTTTGTATTTTTTAGTAGAGACGGGGTTTTATCATGTTGGCCAGGATGGTCTCAATCTCTTGACCTCGTGATCTGCCTGCCTTGGCCTTCCAAAGTGCTGAGATTACAGGCGTGAGCCACCGCACCTTGCCCAGTCCCCTCATTCTATAAAGGCTTCAGCATCAAAAGTGAATTTGTTCAGACTTTCCTCTGTATGTTTTCAGATTTAGAAAATTTATCCCTTCTTCTTATTTGATGTGGCAAAGAGAAAGACACTTTTGACATTATTTTCCTAATAGTATGTTGCTTAAAATTTGATAAACTAGTAATTCCTTTGAAATTACACGATGATGAGCTTTGTGCAGTGGCAGTATCATAGCCAATGAAGTTTGTCCGAGGTGCAATTATTGCTAATTGAAATTACACGATGAAACAAAATAAACCTTATCTCATTCAAGTAAAAAAAATAAAATAGCGCTTGCTTCAGCAGCACATATACAAAAATTAGAATGATACAGAGAAAATTAGCATGGCCTTTGCATGAGGACGGCACACAAATCTGTGAAAAATAAAAATAAAAACATAAAATGGAGTTTCCAAGTCACCCATGATTGGTGTTTTTCTATAAACATGGGAGACTCAGACTCCAGGGCTGGGTGTCATGAAAGAAGGAATGGGCTTCGTGGATCTCTACTCTTCACCGTAAGATTATGGAGGGTGGAAATCTCCCTCCCTAGAGTGCCCAATTCAAAATTAAAATAGGAGCCATTTGTTAGCCATAAAGGAGTCTCCAAATACTGCAACACTTCGACAAAGCGAAACATCGACATTCTGTGAAATAGGAAACTGACACATGGCTAGGGAAGCATGTCCCTCAAGAGGGTTGAGATTAATATATGTGTCCTGGAGATAGGGCGACCAGATCAGAAGGGCTTTAGATTGAAATTAGATAAGGAGACAAACACCTAGCTCGACCTGTCAAACCAGTTGCTATGGAAGACAGATTGGACTTCTGCAGGAAGAGCCTTATTTTGTAGATGCTACGTGCAACCTTCACTGCCTACATAATACCGTGCATCTCACTGGTAATGATGTGGGCTTGAGACTATAATATACTATAGTACAAACAATCTTATGAGGATAAGATTACTTGGTATGATAGGAATTAAAGACAGGAATATGTGGATTAAAATACATCTTTAGGTCAGGCGAGGTGGCTGGAATCCCAGAACTTTAAGAGGCCAAGGCAGGCATGGTGGTGTTCCCCTACGGTCCCACCTACTCAGGAGGCTGAGGTGGGAGGATGATTTGAGCTGGGGAGGTTGAGGCTGCAGTGAGCCAAGACTGCACCACTGCACTCCAGCCTGGGCGACAGTGAGACCCTGTGTCAAAACAAACAAACAAAACAGCTTACAAATACATCTTTAGGCCAGGAGAGGTGGCTCATGCCTGTAATCCTATTGCTTTGGGTGGCCAAGGTGGGAGGATAGCATGAGAAGCCAGGAATTCAAGACTAGCCTAACTGGCAACATATCAAGACCCCATCTCTACACACACACACACACACACACACACACACACACAGAGCAGGGCATAGTGGCGAGCTTCTATAGTCCCAGCTACTTGAGAGGCTGAGGCAGGTAGATTGCTTGAGCCCAGGAGTCTGAGGCTGCAGTGAGCTGTGATCACACCACTGCATTTTAGCCTGGGCGACAAAGAAAGATGCTATTTTAATTTATTTTTAGAAAATAAAAGTACATTTTGGGCCGGGTGCAGTGGCTCATGCCTGTAATCCCAGCACTTTGGGAGGCTGAGGCGGGTGGATCACGAGGTCAAGAGATCGAGACCATCCTGGTCAGCATGGTGAAACCCCGTCTCTACTAAAAATACAAAAAATTAGCTGGGCATGGTGGTGCATGCCTATAGTTCCAGCTACACGGGAGGCTGAGGCAGGAGAATTGCCTGAACCCAGGAGGCGGAGGTTGCGGTGAGCCGAGATCACGCCATTGCACTCCAGCCTGGGCAACAAGAGCGAAACTCCGTCTCAAAAATAAATAAATAAATAAAAGTACATTTTTTTTATAATGACGAGTGAGAAGGGAAACTGCAATGCTCTACAGACCCACAGACCATGGCCATGTTTCAAGGTCCAGATGCTGTATTAGGCCTTAGGAATGTGATGATTATGGAGGCAACTGTCCTTCCTGTCCTCAGGGAGTCTAATGGGGGAAGGGTAGAGAGTATGGACTGTTTAAGGGATTGTGAGTAGGTTCTGATGAGGTGGGGAATGGCTAGAGATGAAGTTAGAGACAAGAAAGGACTCAGAGGCCCTATAATGGAATTTAGACCTTATCTTAATGTCAAGGGGATATCGTTAAAGGATCTGAAGCAGGAACAGGACGTGAGCAAATTTTATGGGGAATGAGAATTGAAGCAGAAGCTAGAAGCTAAGACAACAATCTATGCAAGAAAGACTTGTGGCCTGGGCCAGGGCAGGTGGCTCTCATCTGTAATCCCAGCACTCTGGGAGGGTGAGGCAGGCAGATTGCTTGAGTCCAGGAGTTCAAGACCAGCCTGGACAACATGGGGAAATCCCATCTCTACCAAAAATACACAAAATTAGCCAGGCGTGGTGGTGCTTGCTTATAGTTCCAGCTTCTCAGGAGGTTGGGGTGGGAGGATCACCTGAGCCCAGGAGGCTGAGGCTTCAGTGAGCCAAGATCACACCACTGCTCTCCAGCCTGGACAACAGAGAGAAACCCTACTCAAAAAAAAAAAAAGAATTGTAGCTTGAATTAAGGTAGGGATGGATTGAATTATCGTCAGGATTAAAATTAGCAAGACCCAAACCAACTGGAAATAGAGGGTGAAAGAGGAGAAGGAATCAAAGATAACATCAACATCTCTGGCTGTGGCTTCTGGGGAGTGCCATTTGCTGAGCTGAGTGTGGGAGGAGGGCTCAGGTAGATGAGATGGGGGCTGAGCTGAGCTCCACTGCAGACATACTGAGTAGAAGGGGCCTGCGGCTCACTGGAGTGGAGATGCCTAGGAGGCAGGTGGAATTGCAGACTGAAGAGGTGGGAAAAGAGGTGGGCGGGTGTTCAAGATTTACAAGTTGAGATCTTCCAAGGAGAGGCCCAAGAATGAAATTATACACCTGCACATAAATCTGTGAAAGGCCGGGTGCAGTGGCTGACACCTGTAATCCTAGCACTTTGGGAGGGCAAGGCAGGCAGATTGCTTGAGCCTAGGAGTTTCAGACCAGCCTGAGCAACATAGCAAGGCCCTGTCTCTACAAAAATTACAAAAAATTAACTGGGAGTGGTGTGTGTGCCTGTAGTCCCAGCTGCTCAGGAGGCTGAGGTGGGGGTATCACTTGAGTCTGGGAAGTTGAGGCTGCAGTGAGCAGAGATTGCACCACTATGTTCCTGCCTGGGGGATGGAGAGAAACTCTGTATTAAAAATCAGACAAAACAAACAAAGAAAACCACACTAAATCTGTGAAAAGGTACAGAAGGAAACTGCAGAGTACACACAGATTTTTACATCAATCCCTTCTCTACTCAGTCTACAGCAACATTTTTTTTTAAATACATTTATAATCTGGAAGTTTTAAATAAATAAATCTGTAATCTGGAGGTTTTAATCTGTCAAATTAAAAACGTAATAGTCTTATTATGGGGGATCATTTAGGAATGTGGCTAACATCAAGATCTGAATGCAGAATGGGGGTTTTTAAAAAAAATTCTTATTTTTTTAAAGGTGGAATCCCACTATGTTGCCCAGGCTAACCCCAAACTCCTGGGCTCAAGCAATCTTCTTCGCCTCTGCCTTATGAAGCACTGGGATTACAGGCACGTGCCACTGCACCCGGCCTCTGTTAGCATTTCAAGAAAAGGTAATGTCAGTATTATAAACACCGGAGTCCCAGTTATTGACTTAGGAACTGTTGACCTTGAGGATGTAATCCTCATTCCTGATTTTTCTTTTTTTTTTTTCTCATCTATTCAGGTCATAGAAAAAGATTTCTAGTTATTTCACACTCAGATGGAGTTGCCAAGAGCCTGAGGTACGGTGGAGGACCCATTCTCTTTTAGAAGTGCCAGTTGATGACTGGGGTCCCATGCCATAAAGACAAATAGTTGGTGCCTAAGTCAAACTCTTAAGAATGCTTAGCATCATTTCCTAGGTTAAAGCTGTATCTTAGACATTATTGGGATGCAAAATTATTTGACTTGTCTCTTTGCAGAAAAGATCTGTGCCATGCTTCAGGGCATACCAGACACAGTCACTCACTCCATAATTATAGGATAGCTCTCAGGACTGGCTTCAATTAACCAAGCTGCTTCTCACTATCACTATATTATCCATATTTATAGCATTTGACATTTTCACAGTGTTCTTTAATCAGATTGTATGTAGGTTGACTTAATCTAAATCTCTCACATACTTGGGATACCAGATGTTCCTGTTTTCTGGACCTTCCAGATGGGGAAATAAGGCATGAATCAGTTGTCCGATGACGGCACCTGGGAGTTACAGTCCCAAGTCACTTGGGCCGGTCAGTGGTGGTTGAGGTTTCATACTAAAGCCAAGGCCTGCTTGGTAAGGTTGGGTAGGTCAATGAGACACTAAGACACTGTGCTAAAGATAAAAAGACATTGTCTTGGGTTCAAAGGTCCAAGGACTAGATGAGCCTGGCTAGTTCAATGGAACCTCAGGAGCCTAGCGTCCTTACCACCACCAGGCTACAGAGGCAATGAGACGGAGCAGGGATGCCTCTTAGTGACCTGCCAGACATCCTCTCACAAGCATGGAAGTCAAGGAAGATATTGAGTTCTTTCTAGAGAAATTCCAGGCACCTAGCTCCCCCTGAGAAGTAAGTGACCAACGTGATAAGCAGTAGCCAAGGAAGTCAGCATCACGAGATGTTTGGTTCCCTGTACACTAAAGATAACATCTTACCATATGTCCCTGAGCTCTTTCAGAAACTTAGACCCCCCAACAAATGGAACCAGTGGCACAAAGACCTCAGATAAAGGGGAACTGAGGAATGAACTCTGACGAGAGTTATTTTTCTAAATTTCTTCCTAAAGGGTCTGGAGGAGGTCATGCCCACAAGCCAGAATTAACATTCTTTTCTGTGGATCCCCAACTTTTAGACAAAGCTCTGCCTCCTGAACCAACTGCAAATCAGAAAATCTTTGAATCCACCTATGACTCATGCCCTCCATGACCCAGACGTCCTGCCTTTCTAGGTCAAACCAATATATAGCTGCCAGATATTGATTTATGACTTTACCTGTAACCTCTGCCTCCCTACCTTTAAAAACTCTTACCTGTAATCCATCAGGGAATTCGTCTTAAGCATGAGCTGCGTGATTCTCCTTGCTGGGTGCCCTGCAATAAATCCCCCACTTTCTCTGGCTGCCATCCAGTGCCAGTGTTTGGCTTTGCTGCACCCGGTGAGCAGACCCCAGTTTGGTTCGGTAACAGCAAGAGCTGTGAGTGGGCCTCTGCTACCACCGTTTTAACTGAGCTAACTTTGGTTTCCCTGTTCTTTATCCCCTGGGTATACCTG